TCCAATTTATTAGCAACGTTGATATTTAAATATGATAATAACACGAGAACAAGCGCTGAAAATCATTCACTACCTCATCAAATTTTTGATCAATTAGAATTTCGACTACGAGCTCGTTCTCAACATTCTCATTTATTTACGTTAAAAAGTGAACGTGAGAACATTTCTATGTCATTTTATATTCGTAACACCGAGTTAATTTATAAGGATTCAAATATTGAGATACAGTTGACAAACTTAAATTTATCAACTACGTTTCGCTGTCAATGGTCAAACAATGGCTCATTTCAATTTCTAATCAAATCGGGAGCTACTTTTCAACTTTATCGTACAATATCGACGAATTTATTATTGAATGATATTGTCAATAATGGTACTAAGTTATATATTGGCTCGGATGATAATAATAACAACAAACGATCATTTCGTGGCTGCATTGATTATATTCTTGTAGGAGACGTTTATGTACCATTTTATAGTCAGCAATTGTTACAAAACGACACGAGAACAACGCGATTTGTCATAGACACTATGAAAAATATTCAAATAAATAATTGTACATTTGATAACGCTTGTGAATCAAATAACTGTGTTAATGGTACATGTCGAGCAGATTTCGATACCTATCGATGTGAATGTGATAGAGGATTTGAAGGCAATGATTGTTCAATTAACATTGATGAATGTTTAACAAATAATTGTACAATGAATGGTGTATGCATTGATCAAATTGGAACTTATATTTGTAGATGTTATCCGGGATTTACTGGAGTATTGTAAGTATCTATTACTAGAGAAGAGTTACTCGTTATTAAAATGTTTCTATTTTCTATCCAGTTGTGAAACGAATATTAATGATTGTATTTTTGATCCCTGTTTACATGGTGGTCAATGTATAGATTTAGTTAACAGTTATATGTGTAATTGTACACAAGATTATATTGGTTTTAATTGTTCAATATCAAAAAACGAAACGTGTCTTGGACGTTCCTGTGAAAATAATGGACATTGTTTATCAAATAATGTGTATAGTTCTAATCCGACGACCCGCTGTCAATGTGAAGCAGGTTTTAATGGAACATACTGTGAAGAAGATCTATGTTCAATATTATCATGTCAAAATAATGGAACATGTGTAAGAACAGAGAATAATGCTAGTTGTTTATGTCTAAAACAATGGTATGGTTCACGTTGTACTATGGATGTAGATGAATGCGAAGTATATGGTGAACAGTTATGTTTACATAATGGAAGTTGTCACAACTATCCCGGAACCTATGAGTGTCAATGTCAAGAAAATTTTCTAGGTAATTAAATCAATCAACTCTCAAACTTATTAATTGTTTTTGTAATATTAATTTAGGAGAAAATTGTGAGAGACTTCACGATTGTCTGGCACACAATCCTTGTCAAAATTCTGGTTCATGCAAACCCATAAATGATAAATTTTTGTGTTTGTGTCCAACCAATTATACAGGTACAAACATAAAATAAGATAATATTTTTCAACTTATATTACACCAATAATTCTAGGTTCAACATGTGAGTTGGTGACATGTGATGGAATGCCGTGCGAACACAACGGAACATGTATGCCTGACCTTGAAAAAGGATTTTTATGTAATTGTACAGATACAGGTAAGACGTATAAATTGAATTGTAAAATTATTATGTGATAAAACAAACTTGCCCTTTGTATTTTAGGCTATGAAGATTCAGTATGTGGGACAGAAATCGACGAATGTCAGAGTAATCCATGCTTCAATAATGGAACGTGTATACATTCAATAGGAAAATACGAATGCAAATGTCAACATCCGTATACGGGAAAACAGTGTAACATAAAATCAGTAAGTTTTCAACCTCACTGTTAATGAACAAATATTCTAAACCATTTGCTTTCTTTTTCCGTTGAGAAAAAGAACGAGAAGACGAACCAAAGTCTGTAGTACCACTGGTTGACTCCTGGTTGAAACTCCCTCAGGATTCGTGTCATGGAATCCGACATGGTGCTGGGTGGGACTTTTAAGAGACTCCCGTGGGACTTTGAACGCTCTCTAGCCCCACAGGAGTTCTGCGGAGTTTCTTAAAAGTTCCGCCCGACTCCCTATCAGATATCGTGACAGGAATCCTGGGAGAGTTTTGTCCGGAGTTTCAACTAGAGACTTCAGTTTTTGGGAACTTCTATAGCTTTGGAAGATACACCAATAATATTGAGACAAACTATATGAGAATTTTTTTGTTTAGAAATTTTTGTCATCATTTGGTTTCTCTTATCATCTCGTTATATGGCCTGGTGTTGCACTCTTATTACTACTAATCATTATTCTATTAACTGTAACCATACGCCGAATTCGTCAAAATCGTCGATCACGTGGTACTTATCGTCCAGCTATCCATGAAAACAATAGTTCAAGAGTGGAATTCAGTATGATTTTAAAGCCACCACAAGAAGAACGATTAATTTAAGAAGGAATCTTTTTTAGCCAATGATGCAAGGTCAGATAGTCAGTTCACTTATTACACGCTCTTCTCACATTTTTTTTGTTATACACACACATATACATTGTTGTTATTTGCACATTTATAAACTTATTTCGTGTATTTTTTTTCTTCGTCTTTTTTGTATTAAAAAACGTTTTATTCTTTTTATTGTGTGTCCATCTCTTTCTTTAATACAAATCCATATTTGAAATGTGTTAAACAATTTTCTCTAATTTTATCAGAAATAAGCCAAATGTACAAAATCCATGTTGCGTTCTTCTATTAATGGAATACAAAACCTAACATCGCGATACTGATAACAAAAGGAACTAGAATGCAATTTTGCTGCGCACAAGTAGCGATGTCGGCAGACACTGATCATTAAAAAATCATGATGAAAACTTTATTTTTCTCGATGATCTATAGTAGGTTTTAATTAAAAAGCGAAGCCGGACAATCAGCTCTTATAAATATACAAAAAAGTTTCTAAGTTCAAAAAACATTTTACTTCTACTTGTGAGACTCAGCGCCGAATCTGGACCGTTGTATGAAAAAAGAACGCGCAATGGTCAGTCTACGGTATCCAGATAGTATCCTCCCGCTTTCAGAAATTTTCTATGTAGCGTAGATTAGATCATGCGGCTAACATTTTTCAAAAAAAAAATGATCAAACAAGAAACAAAATTCCCTGCAAAAACGCATAATGTCTGTCGACATAATAATCAAGTATCAACGATAGAGACTTTCAGACCAAATAAAATGACTAGTTTTCGTTTTATTATTAAATTAAATTATTCGTTATTTTTAAATTAAATGCCTGTTAATTTATTACTTTTCGTTTTATTTATATGTAATTCATAAAGTTTTCACAGACGAAAATGAAGTCGTTGGAGTTCATTACATTTTCAGCACTAAATCGAAACAAAGTTAAACAGCGCCAGCAGCTCATATTTCCAAAATATCAGCCAATTCTAAAATACTGAGAATTAAAACGAATTATTAGAATTCCTATTCAGACAAGAGTTATGCGGAAACCTCTCACATCATATGAAAAAATCTTATTTCTGTTTCATACTTCTTCTGAAACTGGAAAAACTGAGAATTCTGTTCAAAAACGACAGAAAGTTTGAAAAGATCGTTGATCACATTGTTTGGATAGTAAAAGAGTTTTAACGAGGTTTTTTTCTCGTGAGAAGTCTCATTTTCTGCATGAGAGAAGGTATTTTAGAAGCTAGATACTTTTATATTGCTTGAAGAATGTTAAACATATCGAAATTCTTATTGTAAATGCAAGAGTTCCAGGAGTTTTTAATATACACATTGATTCAGCTATAATCGAATGTACGTGCAAGTTACAGTTATTAAAGTTAAGTCACAACCTTTTACTGTATTCTTCAGTTCTGCTCAATCTCAAATTTTTTTCAGAGTAGGAAGCTTCACATAGTGTACCCCAAAAATATCATAGGGAGCGAGACATTCCCTCCATTTCTCGAAAGAAATACGTTCTCCAGAATAACGAATGCATTTTGCTCAAAAAAGGCAGCTTTGGAATAGCCAATATCGAAAACGAAAAGATTTGAGATTGTCAGAACGATTTCAGAAACAGTTCAACAGATAGTCTATCTAACAATATTATTGAAATCCATGTTCCGTTTCGTTTCGATAGGGTTGATCTATGAAGACTTCCAATCGATGATTGGAACTATCAGTACGTCATTCACTGCAAAGAACAGAAAGCAAGCCCGGAGATTGCAGTTGCGTAAACTTGTAGTATAGTCTGTCTATAGTCTTGAATCTAAGATTTCTTTTTCGTAAAAGTTGAATAAGTCGATAATGAAACAGCTGTGAGAACTGCAGTTTTCGCCTTGACATGTTGATTCTAAAGATGTCTTCTATTCTGAGAGAAATATTAGATGGTCGATTAGACATCGAAATGGGGATGAAGGTAGTGCAAGAATTAACCACGAGACAATAATCAATCATTACGTTAAGTCGGAAATTTCTTTGACGCTCAAGCGTATACAAAGTCTGGAGGCAATCAAAACTTAATCTCGATATTGTCGTTTCGCACATCCTAGTCGTGTTTGTTTTGAATTTCTACTGAAAGTATCTTCGAAGAATTTCAAAAAATAGAATTTGGGGAAATATAATTATAAAATAAATCATTTTTTTCAAACTCATATCGATTAGTTATGGCATTATAATATCTTTATATGCAGTAACTCTTCAGAAATTTTTTTTTGCTTGTCAATATGCAAGAATTTGTTTACATCTTCTGTTTCGGTTTTGATAGAAACAAGTGCCATTCTTTCGCTCATACGAGCGGTACATATTTCTGAACCAAATAAGAAAAATGTATCCTAAACATAAATAAAGAATATTATCAAAAAAAGTAATAACGCTATACAATGAATTATCTGGGCGCATAGTAGATGCATTGCCTGCACACTAATTTAAATGCAGATTTAATGACGCCATTGATCACAAGATATTCACACGCACATCTAGTATGCACACTATTTCTCTGTGTCTTGATATTTTTTTCTTTCATCGAGTATTCCATGTGATAATGATTGAAGGCATGTTTGCACTTTTTCTAATAAATATTCCGCTAATTGCGTTGTTTCTTCTAATTTTTTTGTTGCCAAATGATTCTCGGCTTCTAAGAGTTCTAATTGTTGTTGTTGTAACGACGGCATGGTGGTAGTCGTTGTTGTTGTTGTTGAAGAAGGCACAGAGGGTAAAGAGTCAATGAGTGCAATTAATTCTGTTGCTGTTCGAGTTATTAATGTTGAAAACAAACGTGAATAATCAGATTCCGGTTGCAATTGATTTCTTTCGGGTAAACCACTACGATCAAAGTTTAAAAATGGACTTGGACGAGCGGTGTTCTGTAAAACACCTGTGGCATTACATAAATGATCGGCTAATTGATTAACGACGTCTTGTAATTGTGTTAAACGATCAGACATCTACAATAAACAAAAAAGGATCAAGATAATTGTGAAAAGTAACATTATGTTTCAGAAAATAATAAAAATGAAAACTGGTTCTGCACAACGTGTTGATGGTTTATTTTTTTAAAGCAGCATTTAGTTTTTCCTATCCATATCGATAAGATTTAGTTAAAAATTTTGCTTGAGCTATGTCCCAACCCTGACTGTTTGCTTTAGTTAAAAAATCTTGATATAACGGATCTGTATGAGTTCTCAATTGTTTTAAATCAATCCATGTTGAATTATAGACCACATTTCTTATTGGATGATGAGATTCACTGTTGAGCGTTAAGCTACGAATAATTATCTGTAATAAAAATAAACAATGTAATAAATCTTTATCAGTGGAATCATTTGCCAAAATAACATTGAGACAACGTTTATATTTATTGTAATGAATCGCAAAATGCTCATAGAGAAATTGTTCGAATGAGAACTGATCATCAACATGGTCTCTGAATTCAATTCCAATATTACAGGTAATATTTTGTCTAATCTCATACAATAATGGTTCGGTTCTATTTACAAATTCAATAGATGGTACAATTCGATGTTGAAAATAATAA